TTTCTTTTCTTTTCTTTCCTTTTTTTTTTGATGTAGTAGCATAATAGCAGTAATGTTTTTTTTCCGACTGGCCGTGTGTGTGTGTACGATCACTGGTTAAAACTGTTTTGATGTGATGATGTGGTTTAGCCATAAGGGTTAGAGGTTTTTTTTTTTTTTTTAAATGTTGTTTGAAAATTGGGTTTTGTGTTTACATATGAAGAAAAAACAAGGCTGGGAGATTTTTTTTAAGTGCCTCAGCCATGGACTTGGAATCTGTGGGATTTCTATGAGATAAATGTGTCTTTGTGTTTATTTGCATCCTGCCACAGTTCTGCTCTGTTATACTTGTTTTATTTTCGCACCATCTTTCATCACCCCGCAGTACTCCTCACACTCTGCCTTGCTGTAGAACTTGTTGCCGTTGGCCTGGCAGAAGCCGCTTTTGTAGGCCACACACAGACCAGCGGTGGAGTCAAAAACCCAGATGGGAGGCTTCCCTGTGCAGGGCTGAGCATCCATAGGCAGACGGCACACAGCTGAAATGACAAAAGAGATACACACAATATAATATAGGTAATATTCATTCGTGGTGTGCCACAAGAGTCTCAAGTAGAACATGAATTGCACTTTGTAAAACAGTTGCAGTCCCTTTCTCTGTGGCTGTTATAAGGAGCCTCATTGAAAACAAACACAGTAGCTTCTCATAGAAAATAAGTGTTCTTCCGTTTACGCGTCATTTGGAAACCCCAGCTGAATCCATAATTAAATGTTGGACCAAACCCCCCAAAACCTGAATTTGCACATGTGTTGCACGGACATCTATGCACATTAGCAAATGTCATGTTGTGTTTGTTTTTTCTTACCTTCGGTGCGGCAACTCTGCAAACAGTCCCTTTCATTTTCAAAGTTGTTCTGATTGCCCAAACATCCTCCATACTTGAAGAGCTCGCAGTTCATTGAAGAGGAGTTGTAGTAGTAACGCACGTGGATCCCGAAACACGGTCCTGTGTCTGGTGCTGCTTTACAGGCCTCTGTGGGAACAGCGAGGGAATATACATATGCATAAGAAAATATACAACATCAGAATCAGAACTTGATATTTGGCATAAACTGATATCCTACCAGTCCCATTGAACATAGCTGTATCATCACCAGAGCCCTCCACATCTGGAGCCAAAGAAGGCACTGCATTTCTCCTCACACGCTGTTTAACACAGACACACAGACTCAGAGATACAAAAATGACTCAACCACAAATAATCTGCATTATACCGATAAAATGATCTCCTATAATGTAACGTCTCACATGGATTATATGATGGCCTTGTAATTCATTTATGATGAATTCTACCATAAAACTCAAACTCCTGAGTACAAAGGACAACAGATGTTCTTTCATGCATTTTAAAGGAAATACAATTAAAGCATATGCATAAAATATTCAATGTTAAATAGATTGTAATACCTGAGGCTCAGGCTGAGCTGTGGCTGTTGCCACCTCCTCTCCAGGAACACAGTCACCTGCAGATCAAGTGAAGTAGTGTCATTTGTTCATATACTTCATCTATAGCCTAAAATGTCGTGTTAAGATGTTATGAAACACAGTTCCATTCTTCAAGTTTTTTATTTTATTGTGTGTGTGTGTGTGTGTGTGTGTGTGTGTGTGTGTGTGTGTGTGTGTGAGCCTGGATTTTCATGTCTTTTGTAAAGAGGTAGAACATACGCAAGGAAAGAAACCATGAAGATAGAGTGTAGATCTGGGTTGATTTCTTTAAAATGTAAGAACTAGAGTACTGATCTCGGAGGAAGACTGTACGCTTATCACTCCATTTTAGAAGAGTGTTAGCGTGTGTGATAATCTGTCTATGTGTGTGTCTGTATGTGTGGGCTGTACCTTTGTTCTCTTTAATGATAATATTGGCATCACTCATTCCCTGGTCTTTAACCAGTCTTTTAAAGTCATCCAGGACAGTGTTTCTCACAGTCATAGTTCGACCTGAAGAACACAATCATTTGGAAAATAAAAACCTTAAAATGGCATTAAGACTTCAGGACTTCACCTAATAGTCACTATAACAACAATCAAGTGTATACTTAAGGACTGTCAAATGAATCCATTTTGGTTTACATTTTTAGGAAGCGTTTACTCACTGTAAAGCTTAACTGAGGTGGTCTTATTGCCTGATAACTTCTGCTTGCTCATTATTACTATGGCGTACTCATTGTAGTTTGTGTGAACCACGTATGCATCCACGTCTGCCCCCCACTCTGTGAGAGGGAGAGTACAGGGAGAGTCATAATATCGAAAAATCCGCTGTACAAAAGCTCACGTACAGCATTATTTACACAGATTAGAGACATACTTGCAACATGATAGAAGAATCGTCCTGGTGTGGTGGTCAGCTCATAATCCTCAATCCTCTCCATACATGTTCCTCGTCTTAAAACACACACACACACACACACACACACACACACACACACACACACACACACACACACACACACACACACACACACACACACACACACAAAGAGGGGGGTTTAGAATATACTGGAGTTAAAAGCAGTTAATGTGTAGAGAGACTCATTTGAGGAAACATGTTTAATACATCAGTGAGCAGATCGCATTAATGTTACAGCTGCTACTGGTATTTTACAGCTTGATAGCTTCTTTTACAGCAGATTCTCAGAATTTGGTAGCTTTCACAAATAAAATTCATCCAGCAAAATTAAATATTATGTTTGTTTTTTTTGCCAGATTTCTCTTAAATTTTGGTTAATCCAGTTTCCCTCAATATGTCTGCTAGAATGTTTAGAATGAGTACATTAGCAAAAACAAACAACAAAAAACATTTTTTGTAAAAACCCACACAGCTTGAAGGGAACACAATAGTGGACATTGTGTTTTGCTGTCAGAAATACATGCTTGCTGTACATTACTGTTTGTGTCCGCACACCCATGCGTTTTCTACTAACCTCAGTGAAGTTCGAGTCACCTTGAGTTTGCCTTCATTATCACCTCTCTGAAGTACCAGTTTTCCGATGGCTGCACCTGACTTATAACGTTGCATATAGGGACATGTGGATGCAATGGCAATATCATGCCATGTTCCCAAATACTGTCAGGAGAGGTAAACAAAAGGAAGATTTTCACAAATTGATATAAAACTCACAGACTGCTTAACCAAACATCTGGTATAAAAATAAAGATGTTACAAATATAGATTATTAAAAAAGTATATAGTTAAATGTTGTTTTAATGCTGGGTTTAAAGCAAAACGTCAACTTTAATTAAACTATTTTAAGTTTGTTTTAAAAATACAAGTTTGGAGAGGTCCTTGTGTTCTACATCTAAAGGAAACGTTTACTTTGGACCTTCTCAGTCCTGAGAATACAAGTGATTTGAAGCAGTCGTTTGACTGGATCATAAAGGATGTTTTGCAATGAGAAATAGATAAATATTACCTTAGGCTTGCTCTGTCATAGTTATCTATGAGCACTCAATGGATTCATACCCGACCTTTGCACTGTGCAACTAACAGCTCTAGTTTCCATTATAAAAGCCCTCAGCATATAATCCTCATATTTTTAGGTTTCCTCTGCTTGAGATTAAGGCTTAAAGAAATTTTCAGTAAACACTAAAAGAAATAAAATGTTAGAATTTAAATACACAGGAAAAGGGCATACCAGCATCTCCTGCTTTTAACTTTTTGCATTTAACACTTCTCAGAATTATGCAATATGCACAATGTTAAAGAATATTAACCAGAGCGCAGAACTCGAGCACTTACCTGGGTTAAATCAAAGTTTTCCTGTGTGGGGTAAAGCGGGTCTGTGAGTACAGGGAGCCCCTCGAGGCTCCAGGTCCATCCCAGGACCAGCAGAGTAATCACAGTCGCTGCTTTCTGCATCTCACCAGCTTGTCTGTCCACGCGTTGGTAACAATGTCCCCTAAGTATGAAACATCAAAACAGCCCCCTCTCACCTCTTGATTAGGAGACAGTGCATTGAACTGCTATGGGCTATGTTTGCCGGGTCCCCCTCATGTACCCAGCCCCCCCACAGCTGAGTAAAAAATAAACAAGTAAAAGAGCAAAGTTCAGATTTTGTGTATCTCACCTGACCACTGCAATGCAAACAAATCAATACTTGTCATGATTGGAGGGACTAATGAGTAACAATAGCATACTAGTTCATCCTAATGTGTATAAGTTATAGAAGTTATCTTTTCTGAACTACAGAGCCCACAATGCTTTGGGCGCATATACAAAAAGTTACGTATCTTGGCGAGTGAGCTGCCGTCTACAGCTCCACCCTTGTAATACCTAAATAACTATTGGTAGCTCAAGCTTGCACTTTGTACCAGTGGATGTACAGACCAGGACCCCAGCTCAAGATCACACTGGAACCTGAAAAATGTTATAATATTATTCACAGACAGGTTAGAGAGCAAAGAGGACCAGATGTGACTGGATAGTAGGTTAGCCAGAATCACATTTCTGAGGGCTTGGATTGGACTGATGTATGATTCCAGACATGTGTAAATTGTAACATTATAAAGTTACTAAATTGTAACTTTATAATGTGAAACCATGATGTTGGAGTAAATTTACAAGGTATCCACATGCATGCATGATTCTGTTTCAGCTCTCTCCCTCCATGTCCCGTTGGGGAGCGGTGCAGCCCATTTTGAAAATGATTCCTTGGGGCAGTGAAACATACAGGAAACATTTGTACATGAGATATTTTATTACCGTACACTTGCCATATGTTTGGTGCTTTTTTTTTCTCAAATAGCATGGTCGCTTTATTTGAAATAATATTGGCAATAAAATATTATCTTTAAATAAATATTTGTCACATCTCTTAAACTTGCACATCCAAATGCATATGATAAATAATTGTGGAAAGTATTAGCACACCATGCCATATATAGCAGGTGGTGCAGCTTTAAAAGGGCCTTAAAAGTTAAAGTCCTTTTTAAACTTGTTTCACACATTAAAAAACAATTTGCATTTTGGACTATGTACCAGCTGTATATTAAAATATATAGCAAATATATATTTATTAAAACGCTCAAATTTGACAGAAACACAACATCCTTATTGCATTTTTTTTACATTTACATATTTTTTATTTATATTAACAGTTAACAAGAGAGTGGAGGCAAAGTCGAGTGGGTGATTTGTGACAGATGGATAGCAGCAAGAGTAAAAGGAAGGTTTAAACGCTGGTAGTCATACCCGGTATGATGTTTGGTTTGGAGACAGTGGCACTGACAAAAAGACCTCGAGGTCTGCCAGCTCGAGGTTGAGCTCAAGGTGGTAGAGCTGAAGATGCTCAGGTTTTTATTGGGATTGACCAGAATAGAAAGGATTAGAAACGTGTACCACAGAGGGACAGCTCAGGTAGAGCAGTTCAGAAATAAAGTTAGAGTGGTAAGGCTGAGACGGTTTAGATATAAGCAAAGGAAGTATAGTGGATATACTTGGCAAAGGATGTTGAACGTGTAGCTGCCAGGCAGGAGTGAAAGAGGAGATCCATGGATATAGTGAAGGAGGACATGCAGAGGATTTATCTGACAGAGGAGGATGGTAAGGATAGGGTCAGATGGTAACAGTGAACTCTTCTTGGGGATGTGTCGTACGTGGAGCCGCGTTTCTATTTAACCCTTTGGGAACAATAACCTGAAATAATGACATACAAGGTATTAAAATGCATTAAAGACTCATCACTTTAACATAGTTATAAATCTTGGGTTTTACAGTGTTATATGTTAGTGTGTTAGTGTGAAGCATGCACCTGAGTAGGTGTCTCTGTCATCTTTTCACCTGGAACACACTCACCTGTAAAGGCAGAAGGATTAGAGTTGATGACTTTCTAAAATGCAGTTAGTAATAGAAAACACTAAACATGCAAAACACAACCATGAAGATAATATTCAATAACAGGAGGGAAAAATCAATAACAGCAAGGGTGTCAAACATGGCTATCCCAGCGGGCAAATCTGTTCTGCTTGGGGGGGGGGGGGGGGGGGGGGGGGCGCGCGACGATGACTATATTACAACAAATCAGAGGGTTCGCTCAGGTTGAACAGCATGTAAAGATGATTTGGACATGTGCAGAGGATAGTGAATATACTGGGCAAAAAATGTTAAAGATGGAGATGACGAGTGTAAACTCATCAATAGTTCTCAGGGAGAGTGTGCACCTTTGTCCTGATTCATGATGACAGCATCGTCTCTCATTCCATGCTCTCTGACCACTGTTTTAAAGTGATCCAGCACAGCGGGGCCTGCTTCCACAGTCCGACCTGAAGAGGACAGATTTTCTTTAGTGTTTTATAACACTGACTGTTCATACTCTGTTAAATACTGGAAGGAAACAGAAAGGCAGTGTTAGAATCAGCACATTTAAAGTTCCTAAAATCTCTGTGAGAACAACAAATTTCTATGTTTTTATAATTTTATATTGAAAAACATTAAATAGTTCCAAATTAAAAGGCTAAATGTGAGATCTCATGATTTGAACAAGATTACAGTCAGATATAGAGACAATTAGATTTTATACAGTAGCCTCAGAAGCTTTGCAAGTTTTACCTGCTTTAAGTACACTAGATTAGGTGTTGGGAATATGAAGTCTATTATTAGCTTACTCATAATTAATATTGATTGATAAATTAAAGTACCTGACCCTTGTTTTAATTCGGACACAAAGAAATGCACTGCTAAAAAAAAAATCAACACAGATATCTTGATAAATCAAAGGTAAAATGGCTGATGATCCAACAGTGGTCACTCACTGTAAAGTTTGGCTATGGTGGTTTTATTTCCTGATGGTTTCTCTGTGCTCAGCAGAAGCATTACAGCATACTCATCATAGGTGGTATGAACCACAAAGGCATCAACGTCGGCCCCGAGCCCTGTAGAAAATAAAGTGTTAACGCATCAGGTTTTCTGAGTATTATTTTAGCATCATGAGAATGTTTTTATTGTACACATGTCACAGGAAGGATGTACTATATATGCAGGAAAGCAGAAAACATACTTGCAGTGTGGTAGAAGAATCGCCCTGGAGTGTCCGTCAAACTGTAATCTGTTGAAGTCTCCGTACACAAGCTGTTCCTATATGCAGACACAAACACATGAAAGGTTATATTGAGTGTAGCATACTCATCCACTCCATGAGAAACAGCATGTGGGTGAATCTGACCTGAAAGCAGTGGCTGTCATGGTGAAGTTCTCCTCAGATGCAACATGTTTCAGCTCAAGTGCAACAATGACAGGGTTTCCCCTCTTACGCTGCATATAATGAGGGCAGGTAGACACCACTGCCACCTCATACCACTTTCCCATAAACTGCGAGGAACACGGCATGACATAAAACAGAACAGATACTAATATTATAAAATGGACCAGTCAAAACAAAACAGAACAGCTTAAAAATGTCATGAGCGCAGTTTTGAATTCTGTCAAGGAGTGTGCAGATGTGAGGGAGTAAAGTTTAGGTATTGCATAAGAGAAGGACCTGGCACCCAGATGAACACTGCAGGAAGTTTAAGTTTGGAGGAGATCAGTGAAATATGCAGGGCAGAGCCTGTGAAGAACTTCAAATGTTAATAGTCATGTTTTTAGGGTGAATTCATGGCAGTACAGGGAGCCAGTGTACTGTGGATGAATCAGCAGGGGTGTGACATGTTTAGCTGACTTCTGGATAAGCTGATGTTTCTCAGGAATTTGTGCCAAGATTGCTGAAGTCAAGGCGTGGTGCGACAAGACTCATAATTACTGTACATTAAAACATGTGGATTGACGTGCAGCAATAAAAACAACCTCAGATATTATTGAATGAAAAGAAGTGATAAACTTTGTTGTTGGGTGGGGTGGGAAATAACTAAAGAAATTTCATTTTTTAGTATTTTATCCACTCACCTGCTCCAGATCAAAGTTCTCCTGGGTCAGGGTAAAATTTTTTGGCTCCACAGGAGATACCTGGAAGGTCACGAGGGCCCACCCCATTACCAGCACAGACACAGGCCTGACCGCTCCCTGCATTTTGTTTGCCTGCCTGTCCAACCTGTCTCTTTCTGTCACCTCCCAGAAACTTTTGTCTGCTGCCTTTCTGGGTCAAACGGACACCCTGCGTATGTGGCTTTTGTGAATCCCCTCTCAAAACACAACCAAAAGAAGCAAGAAAAGACACAACTTAACGCACAAAGTTCTGACGATCAGTGTGTCTGTGCACAGAGGTGTGTGCATGTCACTGTGTGTCCTTTGGTCCAAATAATCAGAAATGAATTGCTGGACTTCAGAGTTTGAAGCTAAAACAAACAACTGATCAATATACGTTAGTAATTAACAGATTGTGGGGAAATGTAGCATTAGTATCAGCTACAGAGACTTTTTGATGTTACCACAGACAGAAGTGTCCCTTCAACATACAGCTCATTTAATCTCATTTCTCATGGTATCATGATATCTGCATCATAAACTGTATGTCACATACTGGTGTGTATGTGCCACCTGGTGTTCACTGAGGGAAAAAACTTCCTTTCAGTGACCTTTAGACCACTTGTTTTGTGCCACAAATGCAGTAGAAACTGTAGATAATCTACTCAGAGATTTATTTATTATGTCCAGGCTGAATATTTATTTAATTATGTCAACAGTGTGAAAGAGCACAGCTGATATGGCTCAGGGCAGTCGATGAAGCAGCCAACTTTTATTTACATTTGTCTTTTCAGTGTGAACCTCTGCAGCAACACTTTATGCAAGAGAAAGTGTTTGTGCATATGCAGGTAAAATTTCTTAATTCAAGAAAAATGCAGCTGATCAGAAATATATTTATTGATATATGATGACTGTATCGCCAATATTATAGCTGGTAGAGGTAACTGTCAGGTGATGAACATATAGATCCCAGTAAAACACAGAATTACATACTAACATATTTTACATGTAACCATAATAAGACAAAAAACCCACCCTCAAATTAGATTAATAAAGGTCTGGAGGTCAATGTTTATTTAACTATGTGAACTGTGAAAATAATGGAAAACGCTTCATAATCAAGGTTGATCTATAGGATAAATGTAATCAGCAATATCTGCTTCTTGTGCCATTTGCAGTCAGCATCATGTTTGCTGAAGTTTTTTTTAATAATAGTTTATAATACATAAATGCTGTCAGAAACTGGACACAGACACACAGCTGGAACAGCACGAAGAACACGTGATGCCACCCTCATCTCAGGCACAGCAGGGAACCTAGAAGGGGGAACAGAAAGGATTTTATACTAGCTGGACAGAAATCATTCGCACACGCAGATTTAAAATAACCACCTGTGTTTTTTATATATATTTTTCTTTAAAAAAAGAAAAAGAAAAAAAAAGAAATTGCCTTACCTAACGCCCAGACCCTGATGACGGGCAATTTTCTGTTCACCAGAAAACATACAGACCAAAATTATGACAATTTTTCTTCAACATGCGCGCAGATGTGTATATACTATGTGTATATATGGAGGCGTGTTCCCCCTTGCTTCACCTGCTGGAGGTGGAATCAGAATAGACTCTCTTGGTAAACCGCGAGACAAGGCAAAGGTTTTAAACTTCTGTACGACTTCAGGCCTGACGCTCAGAGTGCGAGCTGCAGACAAGTACAGAAACAGACATGTGGTGTATAGAAGACAGAATTGCAGTGGCCTGCATGTTCAGACGCATCTGTGAGCGTGTCTCACCATAAAGTGCCACCTGTGTGTACTCTCTGTTGAAAACCTTGTGCTTAAGGACCATGGCGTAGTCAGTGTAGTTTGTTTCCACCACAGTGATGTCCTTCACCATGTTATGGCCTGAGAGAAATCGTGACACAGAAGCGAGATTTTAGCACCCCTGCTAGTTGAACATTTAAAAGCAAATTGATAGGCAGATTAAATAAATGAATAAATAGACCAATACATTAAATCTGGATGAAACAGAATTGCCTGCACTAAACCCAAATGGGATGTATATGATTTTTCTATTAGGCCTGTATAGGTTACTTAAAATGCAAAAAGCTAAAAACAAAAAACAAAAACAAAAAGAAAAAAACATGAACGTAAACCCCCCCCAATTGCATTTGGTAGAAGATAAAATTAATTTACAAGATATGTAATTTTTGTATTGACTTACTGGATGTTAATGAATCTTAATTCGATTAAGATTTAATTCTAAATTATTAAATTTAATACTATACATTTTGTTATTTAGACAGCAGACCTATATAAATAATAAAAAATACTTAAGTGTCGCATGAAAACTTAAACCTACTTAAAATATTCTCAAAATTGTAATGAAAATTTTATACATTATTGAACAATTTACATTCATTTAAATGTTCATTACAATACAATTCTAACATAATCATAATTATACCACTGTAAAAATTATGCATTTTAAATTACTACATTTAATAATATACATTTTGTTATTTAGACAGCATGCTATATAAACAATAAAAAATACTTACATGTCACATGAAAACCGTAACTGTAAAAAATAATAAAAGTAAAAAAGAAAAATCCCCCAAATATATTTGGGTGTGTATTCTGCTCTTATTTCCTGTTCTCAGTCTTATGTCATTACTTTGTCACATGTGCCTGGACTGCACAGCTTCATCCTTGTGATCACTGTGTTTTTTTTGCTCATGACATGTTGCTGATCCTGAATGTCAACTCATGCTGTGAGCACCAGTCAAGTTTTTATTCTATGATGGAAAAAGTCAGTTGTCTTTAGAAAAAGACTCACGTGCACTGAAGTAGGTGAACTGTCCAGGTACACTCGTCCTCTCATACTGGTACCTTTTGATTACACAACCAAAGGATCTGAAAAAAGCAAAGAAAAATGAGTGTTTATCCACAAGTGTCACTTTCTTACTCCTCTCTGTTTAACTCTTTTCCTTGACTAGCACACATATGATAGCTTTGATGTTATTAATTCAATAAAGCCCAATATGTATTATTGTTGTATGCAAGTTTGCCACTCAACAGCCATCTTAAATAACTGTGAGAGCATATTGTGTAAATTACAAAGGTTACTGGAGCACATAAAGGGCATGGACACAATAACAAGTCAAATTTAATTAAAAGATCTTAAAAAGTGTCCTGACTTTGCCCCATAATAGAGTTTAAAAAAGCTCTGCCACAGTCTTTTCTCACACAGACTGAGCGGCATGTCCCTGCGTGTCCACATATGTCAACAGTGATCAAATGTGTCACCCCTGCAAAAACAGACTCACGTTGCCTCCCACATTGTGAGATTAGCATTGCCGTTTGGCAGCGGCGTGATGGTGCCCATGGAGGCCTTAATTATTCTTCGGAATGGGACGAAACGCGGAGAGTCATAGGCGACCCCCACGCGATACCATTTTCCTGCAAACTAAACACACACAAAACAAACAAAAACAGGACACAGTTTATTGGAACTTCTGAGCAGTCATGCACAGGCTACATGTGACCTGTGTGTCACAGTCCCAGACGCACTGGGTGACATAAACCAAATGGTTAAATGCACGTGAATTTAACCATTTGGTTAAATGGTTAAATGCAGGGCTCTTTATTTAAATAAAGAGGAAGAAGTATTTCCCTGAAACAATGAGGTTCTGTATTTTAAGGCACAAATAATGTGTTGGGAGTATTTTTAGTCGGGTAATTGGTGCACTAAGTATTTAAGGAAGCAAGGTGGGGTATGTGGGATTGACTCAAAATAAACTACAGTGCTTGTGTTGATCGGAATGAAAGAGCACATCTTGAAGTGAAATGGTGTGGCTCACATATTTATTTTATCATAGGCTGTAATGTGTACCCTGTTGCAAGCACTTGTGTAAAGCAGGGCATCCTTACCTATCTCAAATGTTCGATGTACATCAAAACCGATGAGCCACTTTCATTTTTCCTCATGTAAAACGGTGTTTACTTGACTTAATGTCAATGATTATAATTATATTGGGAAAGTGTTAACTTTTACTCTTATATAACAGACAATAGCCTACATTAAAAAAAAAAATCCTGGCGGGGAAAATAAAATCAGCACTACTTTGTGTCAAATAAACATTTTACTTTTAAAATAAAGAATAAAACGTTAAAAGGCTTACAGGCATAATATGGCTAAGAAGAAGTAAGTGCGGGACAATCCCACTTCATAGCCAGTCAAACACATTTCTTGTGGCACATATGCCAAAGAAAGTTAACCTCACACAGTCCATCAAACCAGGAAACGATTTACTTGTGCATTAATCTTGTTTATTGTAAGGTAGCAACTCATCGCAAACTGTGCGCACACATAAAACCACCAGCAGACAGTAGGTGGCGTCATGTAACAAACAAAGAACAGCTGTTCTCCTTTTAAAGAAACCCCGTTCTTAACAAAACGAATAAACGTGGTTTGAAACATAAAAAAATATATAAAAAGAAAAAAGCTTAAACACCAAACACCCTCCATCCTACCTTCTGCAGGCTAAAATCTTTCTGCGGCTTCACATTTGCATGTACCATCATCATGCACAGCATCACCATGGCAACAGTCATCGTCATGGCTGAGGAAGAGAAGCTGCGAGGTGAGCTGGTGTCTGACCTGAGCCAAAAGTGAACTGTGCTGCCAAAGAGAGGTACAGAGTGGCAAAGCCTGGGGTGATGTTTACTTTTCCCCCCTGCTGATCCACCCACCTGGTTGTCAGCCAATCATCGCCAAGGTTCAAGGAACAGTAGCCAAGTGTTGGAAATGTGCAAGTCTGAAAACAGCCACGGACTTAAACGCTTTATAGGTTCAGCTTGTGGTTTACCAGAATCAGCTGCGATTCATGAGCTGTCCTCAAAAGCAAAGACTTCACATGATTTCACAACTCCCTGTCCCGCACTGAAAGACACATGAGGAAAAACAAGTCGAGAGACCAGTAACCTGTTTCTCAGCTCTGATGGTTCATTTTTCCATGGAGTACCGCTGTGTTGGCTGCTGCCTCCAGCTTAACTGATATTCGCATTTAAAAGGACAAATTTGCGCAACAGCAGGGTCAGTCATAAATATCACGCATGTCCCTACAAGAAAGCTGTTCATACCTTTCTGTTAGAGGAGTTTCTCAGATTTTGAAACACCTTCACCAGCCGGCTTGTGGAATTTGGGTCTTAAGATGTCCTTAGGAAATAGGAACAGAAAGCAGTTTCTCCCAAAGAGCCTCTGCTTTAGAGATTTACTGGTGTCACCTTGTTTTTCCATATATCTTTGAAAAACAGAGGTTAACAAAAACAAACAAATTTCAACAGCTAAAATAACATGGAAAATGGACAGTATGAGTTGTGGATTTAAATGTTAAATGTAGGACACAATTACACCAGATGTGTTTGTGGTGCACGCTCAACAGGTGACAGGTCACGTCTAAAAAGATTTGTCCTGGGTCTAAATTAGTGCACGTTTCCTGTACAAATCTGAGGCAGAGTCATAAACTATCTTAAAAACAAACAAACAAAACAAAACAAAATTCAGCAAAATCTGCAGGGACCAAGACATTCATTTGAATCAGCATTGTGAAGCTTTAGTAAACAAGGTGCACCTCTCTAGAAAATATCAACATGTACAAGTTTTTGCAGTGCTTTGATGAATATATGCATGTGGAAAAGAAATAATATTTTGCTTAAAATCTCTTTGAAATCAGTTTAATAGTTTATTACATTAAAGTTACCTTCACATTCCTTTTTTAGGACACACCTTGATCTAAAATGACCTGCTTAGCCCGATATTTGGTACAGCCATTAAGAGGAGCCTATCTCACTATCAGAATTCAAACTCGACAGTCTGCATCATCAGAAGAAAAAAAAGTGTCATTGCAATCAGAGTCCAGTGAAGAGTTTAAATATTTTTTTATTAATAATGATGGTTTTTCCATTTGCAGCTCTGCTTTTATCTCATTTTCTTGAGATGCATGATGTATACAATGAGCCTTCAGTGGACATCAGTGTGTCACACACACAGCACACCTCACAGACCTCCTCTACGCACTCTGCACAGAACTGCTGTCTATGGAGTGAGACAATAAAATTATATATACTGAATTAAAAACAAACTAATCCTTTTCCACATATGTAGGCAGACATGTTTGAACCACGACAGGGAGGAACAAAGAAAAGTGCAACACAAAAAGATGTGTTATACATAAAACAGCCAGGCTGCGTGATCACCACTCAGTTTAACTTAACTGTGCCTTAAGAGGTGACTCGTCACTTGTATTTGAAGCGACATACATTGACCGATCTCATTATGAGCTGGGAAGACTGGTGACAGCTTGAAGCCTTTGAGGCTTTCCTCACCAAATTTGACCATTTCAGAAGTTTTGTTGATTTCTTAGTATGAGAGAAGCTGAATGGTCACACCGATCTCCATGTGTGAGTGTGTTAGGGACTCATGTTAAATCCAAACTGTACAACGATAATGTAAATGTATTCAGATGGTATGGGAACTTGGTTCCTCAGAGTCATTTTAATGACATGCTAAATGAAAGATCTGAATCAGTTTTAAACTTCTTAAACAAAGTATCATGCGTGATCATGACCATGCCTAGTTTGTATAGTGTAGTTTCTGACTCAATATTTATTCTCTCAGACATCACAAAACAAAGAGCTCTGAGTAGATGCAAAAAAATCAAGTGTTTCCCTGAACCAACCCCCCCCCCCCCCCCAGCAGATCCTGCTAAGAGAAAAAACAAAAAGCCATTCGATTGTCTTTCAAAATGCATGAATCCTCTTTTCTTATATCAAAACCACAAAAAAGCTATGATTTCACACAAACAACACAAAAGCAAACAGATGTAGCAGTAAAACAATCAAAGTTCAATTAACAGTTGTTCAAAAATAATAATTTAACTCATTAAAAATAATGGAAACATCCTCTTCAGAGTGCTCTTTGTGGGACTGTTTAATCACACGCCCCCTGGTGGTCAGGGTCGATGAATGCAACCCCTCAGGTAGAAGCATCATAACAGCCAAACTGAGTTCCCTTTGGATATACAAATCAGACTTTACCGAACATGATCACCATCACCATCACTTATTTTCTTTTTCATACATTCATGAGAACATTTCACACTCATCATTAAAGAATAAATACAAGTTAATGAGAGAGACGGAGGAAGCAGCAACAAATCTGTCGAAACAGTTTAAACATAAACTGCTGAAAAAGATAACTTGCTGTATTGTAGGCAACTTAGGATGTGATCAGTTGCAATGTAAGAAGAAAAACAAAAACACACACACACACAAACAGGGTAATGGCAGACTACAAACAACACACTTTGGTAAACAATATTTGCAAAAAGGTTTTGAGCGTTTGTTTGGAACGTCATGTTACGAGACCTTCTGAACCATCTTAAAAGTCAACTACCGTAAATAAAACCATCAAGTTGCAATTAGGAACTTAGGAAATATGTGAGATGTATTCAGATTTTTTGTTTTGAACAAATGTCTGAATCAGTAATAACACGAAGCAGGAAATGAGTACCCGAGAGAAACGGATGGGATTGGAGGGAGAGGAGAACGGGGAAGAGATGAAGGGAAAGGAATGGGCCGGTTGGCAGAAAGTACAATAAAGGCTTAAAATAAAAGTGCTGAGCAAACAGAAACTCGGGTAAAATACTATATGACAACCCAAGAAAGAAATACAAAGCAAATAAAACTGTTAGCAGACATGTTAAAGTTACAATTAGGACTAAAAGAACAGAAGAGTTTAAAAACAAGAAGTATAGGTTGGTCATTGGAATTGCTATCACAGCAGCCTTGGGAAATTGGACCCCTGCCCAATGACAAAAACAAACCCTTCCTGCACCTGGCAGGATAAAGATGCCAGTCCAGTGGCTGCCGTGAATAGTTATCAGACAATTTTCAGGAAAATATTTGGAGCTCCTGTGATCCGCGCCAGATTTGCATGACTAGTATGTCAGGTAATTCGGAGACAGACAAAATTAGGTCATGGAAGACGGACACCAACAGAGAGTGAAAGATGAAGTCCAAAAAGGAAGCGTGTGGGCCAGGGCCTGTGAACCTGGGAGGTGAACTCACAGTAAGGCACAGTGCTCTGCTTGTGGTTGATGATGCTCATTCATGCTGCTACAACCTCAGAGAACATCTACTGCAAACAACAGACAATAACATTGATGACAAAGCATGTTGTCTTCTCTTCTTCTACTGCTCCATGTTGATGCACTCCTTCCAGTTCAAATGTTCCTGCTCCCGCCTTTGAATCTTTGGATCATTCAGCATTCCCTCAACTTGTAGAACATCCCTTTTAGCACCAGATAAACTCCTCACTGATCAGGTGCTTTTGCCACTTCACTCAAATTTATATAATATAAAAGAATATACACACCCTAATATAGGCAAAGTCTACCTTTCAGGACAAAACCTGCACAAAACAGCCACACAGCAATACTGGACTCATGCTCAGTATGTGAACAAGTCCTGTTTATGGAAATAGCTCCATGTATTTAGTCCAGGATTGAATCAGTCTGATCACATGACTTTGTGTTTTAACAGCTGATATAAGGAGGACTCCCCAAGCCATTGAAGCACAGATTTGGATACACACAAAGCAGAAAAAAGACAACAGAAAGACTAACAAAATAAATTAATGTCTGTATTTTCTTAAATATGTAGAAACTACAACTTAAATATATTTGGTGTATCTCAGACATTTAAATACAAAGCTTTGTTTTTCTTCATTTCCGATGTGGATAATTATTGCACTGCAATTGCTAGAGCCCTATTTACACCTTCAACCACTGGACTTTGTTTTTACTTCTGTTAGAGGTCAAATATGTTGGTCTTTAAAAAGCAAAGAAAGAAAGAAAGCCTTTGGATTTGCTGTAATACAACAGGAATGGAAAAGAAAAGACAAAGAGCTGAGAGTTAAAGGAAATGCTTTGATACATTTGACCTAAAACAGGACGTATGTAGCTATTCCACATGTTTGTCACTTATGGCTAATTGTGCAGGTTAAGTCGACAGCAGTAGCTTCAGTCTGTCACAAAACAATCTCACTAACAGAACAATGAACAGAGAGATAGTTTAGGTCCAAGTAGGTCCCTCTGTTATCTCACATATTTAATGTACTTAATCCATGTTCTTCATCAGCATCCTTTAAGTCTGTGTTTATCTGGAGTGTCAAGTTTTTGCATCCTGGATGCTAGGCAGCCTATTCCTCTCCTCTTGTTCCTCCTTCATGCCAACAATAACCTGTGGTTTAATGGACCAGCGTTTACAGGTGGGAGTGTATGAGATCTGTTGGTGGGCGAGGGAGTGCGTGGTTATGAAGGGTGGCTTCAAGTCACCAAGCAGACCTGCTTTCTAGGTTTGTGCCTCTCTCTTTGTTTGCTGAGGTAGCGAGAGAAGTTGTTGAGGAGTATTCAGGAGCGACGGGCAGAGTGGAGTGTGTGTTTTTGAGCGTGACGTGCATCAATCTGTTATTAAGGATGTTAAAGAGCAAAGTGGTTTTGGGAATACGTGTGTGTGTGTTGGCCTGTATATGGCTATTCTCTTCTTTATTGTAATGTATTATTTTTGTGACTAAGGGGACAAAATCTTCTAATTTGGTCACACATATTGTCTTCTGTATTTGTGTGTGAAAGTGTGTGTGTGTGTGCAAGTATGTGTGTGTGTGTTGATGTAGTGGTCAGCCTGGTCATCACAATTTGCATTTCCCTGACAGAATGGAGCGGTACAGCTCCTCGTCCAGCTGCACGTAGCGCCCTTTGCTGGAATCCAGGAAGTACAGTCTGCCTGACACTGCGCTGGGATCAAAGCTGTCCCGACGCAACTCTGTCTTCTGAAACTTAAAAGTACCTAAGAGAGATACACAGAAAGAGAATGTGTAGAGAGATTCGCTTGCCAAACAATGCCCTTTAATCAAAGTACTCCAATCAATGCTAGTTTGTCTCTTATGAAATCTGCTGTATTTGTAAAATACATCAAATGTATGTTTTATAAAACTATAATACTATCTAAAGTTGAGATATACCTACTCTATTCTACACTGAAGAACAAAACTGGAGAAATTCAAAGTACTGAAAAACACAAATGGAGTTTTGTGATGAAAAGAAAAAAAAAAAAGTGTCAACAAAGCAAAATATAATTTGTTGCATGGACTCAAAGAGATCAAAAACTTGCTGTAAGGTAGAAATTAGATTACAATATATAATTTCCCCATTGAAGACTAAGAGGGAGCAGAAAAAAACTAACTTCTACTTAACTGAAAAAACTATGGAAGTGGCTGAGAAAGTTTAAGACTCAGACGGCACTTCAAAAGCAATTGAAGCATTCTGTAAACTAAACAAAGAAATGCGCTTCCTTTCTTATGCAAGATATCAATATTTGGTTGAAGTCATTTTTACCTGTCTTGTTGACCTCTGGGAGGAAGCGGAGGAAGACAGGTCTGGCATATGGAGGGAGAGCCTTCTCCATGTCTTTCACAAACTTCTCCAGGTTAGTGGAGTGAGATGGATCGGCAATGGCTGCCATTCCAGCCTTTCCCTCTGCTCCTGTGCACACAGATGCAGGCAGGTCAGAGGAGGAATTCTAGCGCCAGCTGAGGTTGAAGTTCAGGTCATGTTTGTGCAATGAGACCAAAAGCCTTGTGGAGAACCTTTGTTTACACAGTATCCCACTTGTATTTCTCCCTTTCATATAGCACCAGAGCATCACAGAAGCTTCAGCTTTGTACAGTAGATGAGGCCTGCCTGGCAGTCAACATTCAGCTTTTATTATATTGACACCACTAACTGACTTTATGCATTGTCTTCCTGCACAAAAGTAACATCTCTTTGAAAAATAGCATGCTTATATGTTTGTGTTTTTACTGCTGTGGCAGTATAGTCTTCATATACCTTCTTTGTCACTGTGCAACAGGAACCTAACACATTTTGACTTTGGGGAAATATAACTGTATTAGAGTGAGTGGAAATTGGAGCCTCAGACTTGTTCAAAACACCAGTGGACCTCAACTACAACTCAGTCCTTTACAGCAAAACATACACACACACACACACACACACACACACACACACACATACATACATATATATATATGTATGTATATGTATGTGTGTGTGTGTGTGTATCTATCTATAATTTTAGGCCAAGAGCAAGCCAAGACATTACATCTGTGACAACTATAGAGCTAAGCACAGTGTGGTTCTTGCTTGAAAAAAAACAAAAAACAAAACCTCATGGTGTTGCTCAGTATACTTAATTTATATACGCTGCACTTGTCTATTTCATTTACACATTTACTAATGAATTGAGACTTCATTTAAAACGTGAGATAATACTTGTTAATAAGAAATTGTGCACAAGAAACATGTTTTATTCTAAGAAATAAACTCAAAATGTTTACCATCCTGGGTTTGCTGGGCATTAAATTAAAAAAAAAATCATCCTTGAATATCAAATATCAATATCAAAACCATCTGCTCTGCTGTAATTCATCTGCAATATGAAGTCCAGACGGTCCTGCGAATTCTGGAAACAACGGAGTCAGTTTATCCAGCAAGCGTAGCTCCAAGCAAAGATTTCTAAATTACTCTAAGCTTCCTTTTCGGTTAAAATTAAGGTATATCATATAATATATCATATAAAAAGCCAGTGTGTATGATTAGCCAACATTTATATATTACCCAGGATGTTAATGACTATTAAAGTATTAAAAAAAACAAACAAAACAAACAAAACAAACAAAAAAACAGAAATTCCGAGATATTACCTGGTACTTCCACTCCATACACAACGACATCCTTCATATCTAGGAGTCTGCTTAGAGTTCCTTCCACCTCGGTTGTTGAGACATTCTCTCCTTTCCAGCGGAAAGTGTCTCCTGTTCGGTCTTTGAAGTACATGTGGCCATACTTATCCATGATCAGCACATCACCTAGTGAGAAGGAAATGATTCAGTATTCAGTTCATTCAGTCATAATGGCATACGGTAAACTACTCAATATGTGTGTGTGGCTAAGTGCTCCAACCTGACAGATAGGCACTATCTCCCTTCTTAAACACACTATGAGCAATCTTCTTGTCAGTTGCTGTTTGGCTGACGTAGCCGTCAAACCTACGTAGAGGGTCATTCTGAATGATTCTGCCAACAAGCTGTCCAGGCTCACCTTGAATGAGAAAGAGATAAGGAACATTAGTCTTTTTGGAGCCCCCAAGGATCTTAAATAAGACTGCTTATGCATATTATGTATTCTGGAAAGTCTAACACACAGATTATAAACACAGTGCCATACTATAATTCTGAGCGGTCACAGCCTTTCTGATGAGTAAACTACTCTAGCTTTGTTTTAACACTATCAGTCAGCTGACCCTTAGTGTTTAGAAACCTACAAAGTATTACTGCTAAAAATACAGATGACATGTTCATCTTTAGTTAATAAAGAAACATGCACCATTTTTATGGGAATGTATGAGCTGTGGATCTACACGAGGTGTTTATTACTACTTAAAAATAACATTGTAAACTTATTTTGAGCTTGTTAGGGTTAAAAGAGATGTTTGGTACAAGTAGACTGTAAACCCACCAGGTTTACAAGGAATACAGACACCATCAGGTCCCCTAATTAGCTCCATGGTCTCTTCATCAACCCTCACCAGTCTGATGGGGTAGATGAAGGGTAGAATCTGACTGTTGAAGCCGCACGCTCCCATCTGATGCAAAGACAAAGAGCAGCAACCACAAATCTATCAGTATGGTGAGGACAATGAAAGGCACACATACAGTTAGGTCCATAAATATTTTTCTCATTTTGGTTCTGTACGTTGACACAATTAATTTAAATGAAACATCTCAGATGCAGTTAAACTCGAGACATTCAGCTTTAATTCTGTGGGCTGCATATAAATATTGCATAAAAAAAATGTGAGGAACTAAAGCATTTTAACCCCCCCAAAAATCCCCTTCATTTAAGGGGCTCAAAAGTAATTAAACAAATAAATAACTGAAAATAAAATGTTCATTTCCAGTACTTGGTTAAAAACCCTTTGCTGGCAATGACAGCCTGAAATCTTGAAGTCACGGACATCACCAGATGCTGGGTTTCCTCCTCTTTAGTGCTCTGCCAGGCCTTTACTGTCATTTGTTTGTGGACCTTTCTGTCCAAAGTTTAGTCTTCAACAAGTGAATTGCATGCTCAACTGGATTAAGATCAGAATTGGCCATCCAAAAATATTCCACTTCTTTGGGTTGCTTTAGCTGTATGTTTTGGGTCACTGTCCATCTCTATTATGAAACACCACCCAATCAATTTTAGTGCATTTAGCGGGATTTGAGCAGAATTCATTTGGCTGCTTCTGTCCTGTGTCACATCATCACTAAACACTAGTGTCCCAGTGCCACTGGCAGCCATGCACGCCCAAGCCATCACACTGCCTCCGCTGTGTTTTACAGACGATGTGGTTGCTTTGGATCACGAGCTGTTCCAGGCCTTCTCCATACTTTCTTTTTGCCATCGTTCTGGTAGAGGTTGATCTTGGTTTCATCCTTCCAAAAAATATTTTTCCAGAACTCCGCTAGTTTTTAAAAAAAAGATTTTTTATTTAATTTTTTAGCAAAGTCCAATCTATTCTTGAGGTTTAAGAGTGGCTTGCACCTTGTAGTGAATCCTCTGTATTTACTTTCATGCAGTCTTCCATTTATGACTTGGATATTGATATGCCTACCTCCTGGAGAGTGTTGTTCACTTGGTTTGCTGTTGTGAAGGGATTTCTTTTCACCATGGAAATGATTCTGTCTTGTGTGTGTGTCCAGGTCTTTTTTGCATTGTTGAGTTCACCAGTGAATTATTTCTCAGGATGTATCAAACTGTAGATTTTGCTATTTCTAATATTGCAGCAATTTCTCCGATGTGTTTTTTCTGTTTTTGCCACTTACAGAAGGCTTGCATGGAGAGCACCTTTGACCACATGCTGTATGTTCACAGCAAAATCTCCCTAATGGAATCACCACACCTCAAATCAACTCCAAGCGTTTTATCTGCTTAATCGATAATGACATAACAAATACTATTTCATTGGCCCACACCTGCCAATGAACTAGCCTTTCAGTCAATTGTCCAGTTACTTTTGGTCCCTTTAAAAAGACAGTGGCTATGTGGAAATGTGGATACCCTCAAACGAAAGCTGGGAGTCTATAACTATAACTAACGATAATTTGAATATCTATTAGTAAACAGATAAAAATAACAAAGCTTGTGTCAGTGTCCAATTATATATAGACCTATCTGTATTACCGCAGCTTACAAGGTGCTGTTATGTTTAATATTGTGACCTTAGAGGATTAATGAAAACAAAAACCTCTGAATTATTTTTTTTAATTTATGCAACTTGATTGATTAAGCAGTCTTTGGGATTCTAAAAGACAATACTTTACCACAGTGATGCCATTTTAAACATTTGGATTCATAATGAAATAAAATTTTGCCAGTTCAACATCACCAGTTTTTTTGGGAGACATGTTCCTACCTTGTTATCAAAGTTGCCCAGACTGCAATTGCACTCTGTGGCTCCATAAAACTCTGCAATCTGTGAAATGTTGAAGCGGTTCATGAATTCCTCCCATATGGACTGACGCAGGCCGTTGCCCAGTGCCATGCGCACACGGTGCTGTCGCTCTGTGTCACGAACTGGCTGGTTCAATAGATACCGGCAGATTTCTCCAATGTACTGCACAATCTGGAGGACAATGGGAATAAAAACAATCAGTAATGAGACAAAAGTTTAAAAAAAAAAAAAAAAAAAAAAGACTGCTTAATGGCTTTACAGCAAGCATACAGTGGTTGGACAAAGAATTGAAAGAGCTACGGGGATAATATTAAATCTTTAAAGGATTTTTACTGAAAATGACATGATATAGAGACATATTCTCAAAAAGGAGATTGTAATGTGCCGCTGTGTTGTACCTAATAAATCAAATCTGTGACAGGGACACCCTGTTTCAGTTTTAAGGCTTCATGTAGCAGGAGATAACAATAGAAAATCTTCTTGTCCTAAGCAAATCTTCATATTAGCTTCATTTATTAAATAAAACATCAGATGGTCATCAACTCATTACCGTTTAACTTTATGTAACAAAAAACTAAGCAGTGCTGTGAAAAACTAAGTACGCCCTTATGTAAGAAGCAGCTGAGTGCTGCTAATCAAATGCACTTGATGAACTGGTCATCACCAAGTTTGAGCACCTCTATAAAAGTAGAAGTTTTAATATTTTCCTGGTCTGGAGCATTCAGGTATGTCTTAACACAAAGTCAAGGAGGAAAGACATGAAAAATGATCTTAGAGAAGCAATCGTTACCCACATATCAACCTGGGAATGGTTATAAGGCTATTTCTAAATAGTTTTCAGTCCATCATTATAAAGTAAGAAAGATTATAGTGGAAGACATTCATGACATTTGCCAATCTTTCCAGGAGTGGATGTTCCAGCAAATTCACTCAAAGGTCAGACTGTGAATGCTCAAAGTAACTGCAAAAAACCAAAGAGCTACATCTCAGACTCTACAAGCCTTGGTTAGCATGTGAAATATTAAAGGTCATGACAGTGCATTTCGAAAAAGACTGCGCCGTATGGCTTGTTTGGAAACATTGCCAGGAAAAAGTCTTTTCTCCCTGTAAAGAATATAGCAACACGGTTTAGTTTTGCAATGTTGCTTCTGAAAAATCATCAAAACTTCTTGACCAGTGTGCTTTAAACAGATGAGACCATCATGTCTCCAGTGTTTGGCCATAATGCCACAGCGACAAACACCTCACATTAATTTTTAAGGGATGACGAGATGTTGGCTTGTTTTGCAGCCACGGGACCTGAGCACCTTGCAGTCACTGACTCAGTCATGAACTCTTCTGTAAAGCAAAGTATTTTAGAGTCAAATATGAGACTAAATGTCTGAAAGCTAATGCTTTGCCAAAACTGGTTCAACCTGACTGAAATGCTGTGGTACGGCCATAACAGAGCCGTACACGAATGCCTGCAAACCTCAATGAACTAAAGTAACGCTGTGAACAAGAGTGAGCCAAAATTCTTTCAGAACAATGTGGGAAACTAATAAAGTCATACAGAAAACGATTACTTTAAAGTTATTGCTGTTAAAGGTGGTTCTACAAGCTACTGAATCATGGTTAGTTTTTAAACTAACCTTTTGCATTTTAGCTAAGTTTCTGTTAAATAAATAATGACATGGTGATGTGTCAATGTGTCCTGCGTTGTTATTCATCTCAGGTTGCATCTACATAATGATAAGACTTTGAAAGGAACAGATTTTTAAAAATTATTTTGTGGTATACAAAACTTTAGAAGTGAAAGAGGGTGCAGTTTGTTTTTCACCTGACTGTGCAACATGCTTACCGTGCAGTTATATTTGACACAGTCATCCCAGAACCGTGAGGCAGAGAACTTCTTTCTGATGACTACAGTCATGCCATGTATTAGGCACTGGCCAACTCCCACAATGTTTCCTTTAGACAAAAAATAAAAAAATAAAAAAAAAATAAGCAAAAACTGTTTAAACCAAAGCAATTATCAGATGAACGTAGATATCGCTATCTACGTTCCAGAAAACTGAAGAATGATAGCTAAGAGTTAGAGACGGTTGACATATTAGCATTTGCAAACTGGCCTTTTATAATTAATCTTTCTATCTGCAAAAATTACAACACAACATTGTAGTAAGAAAACATGAACCAGTGAAGTCTCTCCAAGTTTGAAGAGTTATAATTAGTATCTTACTGTAATAGACAAAATTTACATCTATGTTTGTTTTTATTATCCACCAAGTCCTCCCACACAATCACAGGGTGATGAACCAAACTTGAAGCTTGGCACCGCCTGAAGGTTCTTATCAGATTTTATTTCATTAAGATGTTGTCATGTTGCCTAGCAACCACCTAGCAACAGGTTAAAATGACCTCCGTATACATGATATTACAATCATCATAGTCATGTTGTTTTGCAATCACCTAGCAATTTGCTGAAATTACCTTTTTAAATTTTTTTTTTTAACTTTAACACTTAAAAAAAATAAAAGCATCGTAACATTTTGATTTCATGGTCAAGAGCACAAACAGCGCAAATAATACTGTAAAGTGGGTGCTTGCTATTAAGAAGTATCCCACTAACAACTGATGGAGACATTACATACAAAATATTTTCCACTTTTAATGTACTTAAAAGCAAATAAACAGAGATGCAGCATAGTATTTGGCATTGACTCCTCTCACATTTTCCGCTGGATTACAGCAAAACTATTTTGATCAAACACCTCAGTCCTCAAACTAGCAGTAATATTATTGGCTGTTAAATTTAGTTTTGCTCACATTTGTTCATTTAGGATCTCGCCATGTGGTTGCCTTTTGTAGAACATCAATTTCTTACATTTATTTATATTTCATTATTTTGGGATGATTAAATGAAAATATTTGTTGGGGTTTGTTCTCTTTTATATGTTTATGGTCTTAAAACATTCCTCTTATCAGCTGTTTTAAACGATTACAGGTGGTGAATGAGTTTCTTCCTTTTTGGAGGTCTTTACTGACACAGTTTTGTTTAAACCAAGAAAAAAGCAACGATTTTCTGAATAATGTATTAATCAAACTTTGGAGGAAACACTCCAACTCATTCGTAGATTAAAACACCTCCTACCTTTTTATGTTCTTTTAACAGACATACCTGCAGAGTGGTAAAGTGGAAGGCAATCATACAATACATCGTCTGATGTCATCCTAAAGCCATAATACACCAAAGCTGCCATGCGATAGTACCTGAACACCAGGGCGGGGTGACGAACAAAAAGAGAAAAAAGTCAAATGAGCAAATACAAAAGCATTTAGTTTTATTTATTACTCTCACTTTTTAACAACACTGCTTGTTCTTTAGATGAAAGCTACATGGATCAACAAAGAGAACAGCTGCATTCCTGTGTGTCTGTTTGCCTCCTTCCTACCTGCTGTGCACAACAATAGCTGCTTTAGGCATCCCAGTGGTTCCTGATGTGTAGATGTAGAACAGGCGATCTGAAAACAGCACAGAGAGAGTAAGACAATAGCAGAATCTGGTATGAGTGGGTTTATCATGTGCTTGAGTGCTTATACTTATACATGTATGCGTAGTTTAAATGTTTACTTTTAATTTACTGCTGAGTCCTCACTTTTGATTAGTTTTGCAGGAGGGTAAATACTCACCTTTCATTTCTATTTACAGGAATATTCACAGTTTTAATTATAAAGTCCTTTTTTAAGTTACAGAACTGAATCATGGAGACAGAAAAAAGCAGTATGACATGACTTGATTGTGAACATTGTGGATTCCATTTGTTTTCCCTTTTGCACTGTCTTAAAAAGGCAATACTTTTAGTTGCCTCGTGACAAGTCATCAGTAAATCCCTAAATCTATCAAAATAAAACAAAGGGAGATGATTAATGATAGGTATAACTCTTATTTGCCTGTGCCCATCATATCATTAATTACACAAATTCTTCATTTAATGAACATATAGTGCATTATGTGAAGAAATAGTTAAAAGGGTGTGTCTTTTTTGTGGTAAGAAATATATCAAACAGAAAAAATTGACATTCTTGACAATTCGCTTCAGTGGAAGTTGTTTTTTTTTGTGTCAATATAAGTTTAGAAATTTGATTTCACATGACTGTGACTCATTCCTTGGATCCAAAAATATTACTCGACACCTGCCAAGTAGTCAGTGCAGCTAGAGAGACAAAAATGCAAACAAATAGTTTTCTGAAATTGGTATGTTGTTTTAGTTAGAGTTGGTGCTAGGATTTTTTCATAATTTTATGACTGATAACCAGAAAAATCATTATTCAGCATTGTTCAGTGACATTTTCCTTAACCTGCAAGAAGATATCACTTTAAACCAAAAAAAGAAAATTCCAGATCCTGAATGGTTGTAAGATCTCATGGACACGGTGCTTTTACCTACGAAGCTGCGATCTGGCCGAGGGGGTAGATGAGAAGGGGCACCAGCCACCAGGGGCTCGAGGCACTCTGTTCCCTGTGGGACTCGTTTGGGATCCCAGTCTCCAGAGCAAAACATCTGCACTGCCTTCCCCATTGAACTATGGACTTCAGACACAGCTGTGAGAACAGAAACAAATTCAAATACATCAAATACATGTCACGTATCCTTATCACAAGACAGCTGCACATTGTTCAACATTTAAATACAAGAAAGCTTGCATCCTTTGCAAACTTTAATCAGTGACAAAACAAAGAGTATAGAGAGTGGTGTAAAATACAATATATACAAATGGTTAAAGGTTAAAATAACTTGAAATGTTTATAGAGAAAGCATATTGAGGTACAGTGTCACAAAAAATATATATATGTAAAAGGAAGTGAATCAGGCAAAAAAGGGAAACAACAAATCGAAACGGCTTTCGTATTTCACCTGAGGGGAAAAAAGATCCAAAAGCCTTATGTCATGCCTAGGCACTAAAGCTAGTAGCTTGAATTTTGACCTATTCTGTAAAAGAGCTGTGTTTCCAATTACTTAAAGGCATAAAACACACTAAAAATCCATTACCCAGTACAGAGCCTATTCCCTCGATCTCAGAGTGACCAGCTCAAAAATCATTCACTCTTTATAGCTGTTGAGATCAGGGCTTTCCATATTGGGCAGGGACCCAAGAAGGCACCAAGAGGAGAGTGAATTACATCTACAAATAATACTTGACCATCCTACCGAGCTGTGGCAGTTTTAGATAATGAGAGTTCAAGCTCAGGTAATACAAAGGCATGTTTGCAGGTTTGTAGAGTGAGCAAAATGAGAGTTAATTCACGCAATGTCAAACATACAAAACACACAAATATGATGACATGGCATTTAACTTAATACTCACTACAATCCTAATCTTACTGGCAAGTGAAAATGACTTTTTCATTTGTTTTATCTATTTGACAGTATTTCAGATATAATGTCAAGGCTGGTGTAACCTAGGTGGAATATGCACAATTTACTTTTTTAGGTGCTGTAATTAATTTAATTGAAACAATATATTTGTTTCAATGATGATGTATAAAAACCAACATGATTTTAAAACAGTGTGTAATGGTTTGATCTAGCCCCTAACAAAAACCATAACCCTCAGTTGATTTGACCTGAACACTGTACTATCAGACGTGTCTATGTCACAGTGGTTCTGCCTTTTATCTGCCTCCTATCATGCAACACATTTCTCTGCAGAGCTCAGACCTTGGACACTGCAGACTAGTGGCAGTCCCTCCCTCATTACCTTATCCCTTCTTTGTGTTTATCAGTCATTTAAAGCTTTACTGGCTGATACTGAAGAAACACCTCCTCCAAAACCCATTTGTCTTTATGACCTCTGTGGCTGTCTCCCCTCACCACTCACCTCTCTTATTGCACAGGAACCAGAACAGCATTCATCAGCATATGACGATGCTGTACAGACTGTTATGCCTCAGCTTTCTCGTCTAACTTTCGAATCTATCCAACTTTCATCTGCCCTCTTTGCTCTTACCATCAGTTAGCTCTGAACCAAAGATCACAGCCTTGGCATTGGAGATGGTGACACAGTGGACCAAAGCATCTAGTCTTAAATTGAAGTTGATGAGAGCCGCTTCTACTCCAATTTTAGCCATGCCCAACCATATGCCCACGTACTGCGATCTGTTCTCCATGAAAAGGGCCACCACATCACCTTCCTAATGACAGAAACAAAAACAAAAAAGACAGTAATATAACTTTAAAAAGATTAGCTTTTGCTTAATTGCTTTTAATGAAGCTTTATTGTGTTGTACATCTACCTTAAAGCCTCTTTCCAATAGCAGGTTAGCCACTCTGTTGGAGTATTCATCCAACTGTCGGAAAGTCCATCTCTCCCCAGTGCCCTCGAAGATGAGCGCTGTTTTGTCCCCATGACGGTGCACCGTTTCAGCAAAGATCTTGGGAATAGTGTTCTTCTCTCTGAGGTGGCGCCTGACGTTCAGTTTCACCCGCAGTAAAACACTGGCTGCACTGAAGGAGCAAAAGAAAACATTACTGTAAGAGAACAAATAACTTAATGATTCCCAGCAACATTAGCCATTTCACTGTTCATAATTTGCTGTTATTTTTTTGCACTTTTAAAAAAAAACAAAAACATTAGCATTAACATTTGCAGCTCATCTGCTTAAATCCACACCATGTATCAATAGATCTGAGAAATGAACAAAGACAACTTGATGTATCCTGTCTTTTGGCAACAAACATTTGTCTAACGATCCACCAAATTCCCTTTTGCAAAAATACATAAACCACCTTTTAAAGAAGCTGTACTTGAATGCATTGCGAACTGTATCCAAACCACATTACAAAGCATAAAATATTTTAACAGATATGGCTTGGAGGCCCACAAGGTCAAATTATGCATGAATGGCAATTCTCAGCACTTTACATTTGTGGTACAAAGGTAGTGGTCAATCTCCTGAGCAGTGAATAATTACAGAAATGTCATAAAAAAAACAATAAGCCAAAGTACTTCTTGGCTAGAGTGAGGTAGCGACAATATGCTTATCATTACATAAGAGAGTTATTTCATGATGGTCTAGATAAGCATTTATTGTTGCACAGCTAGTTGAGGCTAATTACTTTCTTTTGTCATGCCTTTTCTTACTCATACGGATCTATTGCTTAAGAACAGTACCCATTATAAAACTATAGCCTATTTATTTCTAATGCCTTAGTGACTCTTACAATGTATATACCTGAGCTTTGTCACACAAAAATGCCTCATCAACAGCTCGTGAGTCACTGTGTGAAATATATGATTCGTTAAGATCCAATGCTGCACAGAGTCTTTCTAACCTTGACACTTTAGACAATAATACAATTGATCAATAATACAACTTAACGTCATAATTCTAATCAAGCAGATGCCAGAAGCAAAGATAATAAAATGTATAAACAAGACTAAACATTAGATGTGGCTAGTACATTTTCTATGACAATTTAACAGAAAAGGAGGACAAACAGTAATATTTCGTTCTCTAATCATGAGAAAACTGGGTGACCTTTGTATATAATAGGTCCCTGAATGGCAGTAATCCCTAATGGGTAGATTATTGTGTCGCTGTTCCCCTAAAGAGATAATTTACAATTTCCTGTTTTAAGATTACTGCAGCTATTGAGGAAAAAAGGAAGTTAACCTCAAACCAACTACAATGCCAGTTTCCACTTGTAAGTACTGGCTTTAGGTATGCCACTTAAAACATTTGCTCCTACCCTTCTCTCTGTCCTCTGGACCTTTTGTCTTAAATATTTGAGATTGCGTGTTTAGAAACAGGTACAGAAGGAATATCTAGCCAGCTCTTAACAAGGGCTTAGGAACTAACCCTTGTTCGTGACAATTATGTGGTGAAGATGAGAATTTATCTGCAACTGTGAAACAACTTGCATGGATTTCTCCTGTTTTTGCAGATTTAGCACTGTGTGACTATTGAGGTCACATTTAACTCTGTCTGAATTTCAGAGCCAAAACTATAGGAAATTGGCCACTGGGTCACAGTTAAAAGTGACATAGCTCATGCCAAATGATTTGGAAGACATAATGCATCTATGGTCCAATTTTATGATTTTGCATTTAGCAAACAAACATAATTCCAATGCTTACTGTAAGTCTCTGCCAACTGTTTTAGCAAAGATATCCAGGAAGTTCCATCCTCCACTTCCCAGATAGAAGATCAGGATGGCTGGAAGAACCTGGTACCAGGGCAAGCCCACCAGCAGCCTCAACACAAAAAGCAGGGCAGTGCAGCATGCTAGACGCATCATCCTGAAAGAATACAAACACATATAAATAGATACAGAAGGGTCTGCCAGCCCCCTCTGTATCTACTGATCACAAACATTTCAGGCCAAATGACTGAAAGGTTACGTGCACGTTATATGAGCAAACAGAATTTTTGAATCCACTTCCTTAGAACTCAACACCTTAACAATGTTATGGTCTATGGTTTTGTTTACATATCTGCAGTCCATTTCAATCCACTGAGTCAGCTCTGGTAGACTGAAGTTGCGGTGAAGGGTTACCATTTGAAATAGCGGAAATTTAGAGTCTTGGGTGACCTCTGGGTATTCATGATTACAGATGAGATTGTAAAACATTTATAAAATGTGTTAAGCTGGGTGGAACCCTTAAATTTTCTCTTCTTGCTTGAAGGAGAAAACAAAAAGAAGCCTAAAGGCTCTGTTCTGAATTCACAGCAAACAGTCTAAAGTGACAGCAGACAGCACATGCTGACACAGTTTCCCAGTTGCCACCTGATACAGCCAGGAAGATAAGCCTAAACAGTAAATGATATCTTCACACCCATGTTTGTTATTTTTTAAATAGCCTTTAAGCACAATACATATAGAGATGATTGATTTCAGTTCATCATCATCAAAAGGCCATTTTATAACCCCCTCAATGCCTCCATACATCTGGCTGTAATTGTGATGATGTTAGCTCCATCATGCAAATTCAATAACTCCACTGCTAAAATATAAACAAGCACAGAGGAGAGCTCTGTGTGGACGATTACATTACCCTGAACCTCAAACAGATCGACGTGATGGGTTCGAGGGAAAGAGATGCATTAAGGGGAGAGGTGGCCACTTCCCGGTAAGAAAAGAGCTTCATCATTCGCTGATGCCGAACCCGGAAATTTTCATGGCGCGTAGCATTGCGGTAGAGGCTGTGGCAACGACAGGGGGAAGGCTCAACCCACTGTTGGCAAGGTTACACCTCACTAACCATGCCATGTGCATTTCAGACGAAGCCTTTTTTATTGCAACGACGTTGGCCAAAATCATCAAACTGATATAGGTTATCATGGTAACAGGCGCGCCAGGGAAACAGGATGCGCAGCGTATTGTGCGCATCGGCTTAAAGGAAGCGGACAGCGTGACACCATGAGCAGCTTCTTTCAGGAGATGAAGATGAGGCATATGGTGTAATCGCACGGTTTGCTTGTCGGGGACAAATGGCCGTCTCAAATGTAAACATCGGACACCCCGAGTCCCGTCAGCGGGTTAATCGCTGACAAGGAGATGACGAGCCGCCGCTGCTCCTCTCTCCTTTCTTCTGGCGAATAATAAACGGGCCGGTCCCTCAAACACCACGCCGATCGATCTGGGCTGAGGCAGGGACCCATTTCCGTTTACATACCTTGCACCTCCTTCACAGCATGCAGGTACGCAGAAATCCCAAACGTGAAAGTCGTTGTGTGCAATTCCACCTTGATCGGCTTACAGGCTAGCCTGGTCGCCCCCCCCCACTCTCTCCCTCCCTCCGCTCTTCACCGCCGCTCGGTCGGCTTGACAGAGAAACGCACACGGGCTGACACAAGTACTGGGATCCCCCCCCCTTTGTTAATATCACAACGACCCGCTGCTCCTTCTTCGAAATCGCCTGGCAGTCTCCGTCGACTTTGATCCCACGATCATCATCCGTTCATTGCCATAATCATCAATATTATCACTGGCTTCATTGTAGCCGATAAGCTCACTAGCAGGCGTAATTCAAATGACCTTATAATTTTCTTACTTGCGCCCGCCCACTGCCGTCAGCGTCAAATCAGTGAATCAGGAATAAGAGTTGACGGACGGGTGCAACAGCCAATCAAGAACATGAATGTACATCTTTTTCTACGTCACATCCAGCAGGAGGCGGGTGTTTGCGGTTCAGGAAATGCGGTGTGGCCCAGCAAGCTCAGTTAACGAGGCCAGCACGCGCAGCAGTTTCAACGTGGTTGTGACAAGGCCCTGATGCAAAATGAGTACGCCTCTTTATGCCATTCACTCATTACTCTGCTGCGACCTGCTAGAAATGTTCTTTAAGCCTATGTATGTCAACACAGGAGCTCCCGGAGGACTGTGGAATTAGGAAGGGCAGGTTTTCGAACAATAGCGACAGGATTAACCCGTCCTGTGTTCCAGAGAGGACTCGGATCTACTATAACATCTGTAACTTGCCATTTTTCAGTACAAAGGCTAGGTTGATTGAAAATAACATTAAGTTATTTGAACTCCTCGTAGATGTCACATACATTCTTAAATGTACGACTGCTGAGCCAGACAGAACTGCTCTCAAGTGTTGCAATAAAACTTTGGCACCAAACAATTTCTATACTACATGTTGGCTCATGAATAATTGTGAATAATTGTTTTTGCTTTACGGACTGCTGCAACTTCAAGCCAAGAAATGTCCTGTTGTCTACATTTACAGAACACAAGGACGTTGACATTTTACACAGTGCTTATACTAGCAACGTGACATCTCTTGAATTGCACTGCATAACCAGGGTGGATTACAAAAAGTCTACGATAGCAGGCCGTTGAGAGCCACTGGTGCAGGTCAACAAAGGACGCGCTCCCAGTGGTCCCGGAGAGATCTGACAAGGAGAGACTTGTTTGGAAATTCTTGCAAAAAACATGTTAAGTGTAACCTTGGGTCAAATAGTGGACTCGATCTGTGGTAATACCAAGGAGTCACAAAAAGGTGATAAGTTTTACAACACAATTATCATACTGCTATCCCATACACACTAGTGTTTGAGATCTTAGCTGAATGATAAAGAGATGCAATTATCAGGGCAAGAAAATTTGACCAGCTTCGACCTGCCAGTGATAGATTTCCATTCAGTTTCACAAGCAGATACAGATGCCAATCAAGTTAATGAGAGTATCACAGGCGTTGTCAAACTCTTGATAGCAGATGACACTTATCACTGATTCTTAGATTGTATTATGCATGCTATGCTTTTTTTCGGTACATCAAGTCCACCAGAGCTTTTGTTTTTCAGAAGTTCAAGTGCTGACAGACAGGAAACTATAAATATCTGTGAAAGTTGCCCAGTACCCTTTCTTAAATTAGGTGAAGGATGTGAATTGAAACAAAAAGACGGTGTATCTTTATAAATTGTGATATTTAAGCATCTCATTTATTAAATTCATGTCACTTACTGGTAGTACAGTTTAACACTCCAGTATTCTTATCTTTTCTGTAAATAACAAACCAAACAAGCAAAGTTAGAAAACGACTGCCATTTGAGTAGCCAGTACAGACAGGCCTTTACTTTAGTTCTATTTAGGTAAGCTCAAACATTTAAATTAACCCTCAGCAGCATTTACATCCTTGTACACACAGACAGATCTTGAAAGACTGGAATGAACCCACTGAAAGGTTTGAATAGCTAGACTATTTTAAATACCATGCCAGCATAATGGAAAAATCCCAGTGTCCTTTCATTATCAAAATTGTTAACCAAGAAAAAAGGGGACATCAAATCTATTAATAAGTTTGTGGTCTTTAACTTTTTTTTCCTGCAGTTTTCTTTGTCAGAAGAACCGTCCTCACCATTTTATTTTCATTTTCTCTTTTTGTTCAGTCATCCAGTTCCAAACCAAAGTGAGCGTAGAGATCTCGTGTGGTGGTCCCTCTCAGAGCAGCTGCAAGACAGGTTACAGGGTCAACTCCCTCTAGCCTACATTTCAAACAAACCACAAAACACTGAACAGGCCAAGAGTACAGCACCGAATAATTAATCAGGCTAAAGACGAGGCTTGCACTTGGTAAAAGGGGTATGAACAGAAGTATTTAAAGGATATTGATAATCTACATTGTGTTTTATTACCAATATTTTAAAGATTTCCAGTTACTTAGCCCCGCTAGCTGAATCTTGGGGTCGTTAGTATTCTACAGAATCAAACTATGCTGAATTATGTCGGGTCCAGCCTGATAGATAAGTGCTTGGCAAAGAAAGGCAACTAACAAATATTAGACTTTTTATATGCCCTAACTGCCAAGGTCAGTACGAATCTGTTTATCCAACAGTCAAAAAATGAAAACACACACACGGCAAAAAAACCTGCAAATACTTTTTAATAAATTACCTATTAATATTGTTTCAAAGTGTTTTGTTAGTAAAAATGAAGTGAGAATGCTTTCAGGTAGATAAATTAAACTATGCAAAGTGGAATAAAAAAGTACAATCAACATTTGGCCTCACTATTCTTTTTTTGTCTTTAAAACAGAATCAGTCAATACACATGGCATTTAGGTTACTACAGTGACCTTTGAGCACTATGCATAGTTCTTTCAGTCTCAGGTGTTTCTGCCTCTTTATATAATCTAAGACCACCTGTGTGATGTTGACACCACAGTCGTGTGCTACAAAGCAAGCTCAACATAGCCAAGCTCTGATATGTCAGCTGACTTTTCTTTTTAAGGATCAGTTCAGTGCCGCCTATTTCATCAGAGACATCGGGACAGGAGAACAGCAGACAGAGGTCTATAAAGAAAAAGCTGTAAAAGTAGAAGAGTGATAGGTAACAATGCTAGGAGACAAAATGTTACTACACCTTTTACCATTTACTTTTTACATGAACACTCCACATTACAACATCAAAACGGATCCATTTAAAACAACGACAACAACGCATTTATGTCAGACACAATCCCATAACACGATGAAGAAGTTGTGGAAACCACTTTAGATTTTAGCTGGTCACAGTGAAGTTGATTTTCCTTAGTTGATATTCTCCTTGATAACTAGCCTACAAGTAGAGTGATATATTATCTGACCTATGTTGTGCGTATTTCCTGTAATTCCAGCAGTGTAAAACAGACTTGGTAGAAGATTAGGTTCAAGCATAAAACATGTAAACATTTTCTACATCACCAATTGAATGCATGCAAATTCCTGTGACCATGCAGCGCATGTTGCACTGCTGTAACTTTGCTGTGTGACTTTACTGCAGGCTTCCTTTGGAGGTATTAGTACAGTATAAACATATTCCTTAAGCAGAGAATCTAAAATCAAATTTGGAGCATGTTGTCTTGAAAAGAATCAGTTGAGATGTGGTGCCTACAGCAGATTTTAAATGGAATATAACTCTGAATCAGGTTATGTGTTTAGTTACTATGGTGACCTAACGCGGTAAAAGAGAGCCACCTTTATGGCTTTAGGCTTGTTACAACTCGCTAACTCATTTGTGCTTCACAGTACACCCCTCAGGGCTCAGTGGAGACAATGTTCTGTTGCAGGACTCGTTCTTATTTCAGCAACGGCTGTGGGGTGGATGCTGGATGTCACAATGAATGATAACTTTGGCACCTACCAGATCCGCCTTTAACGATACTGTATGACAGATTAAACTTAAATTCTTGGCATAGCGCCTGGTAATAATAATGATGATAATGATAATGCCAACATCTAATTTAAGCATTTACTAAGAAGGTGGAAGGAGGTTTTAGTAATTACGCATCCTGCTTGTTGTCTCTTAAGTCTCATGACATTTAATTTGAAATAAAATTTAAAAAACTCTCTCTGAATACTAAACTAATTTTGGGCTAAAGGGATAAATAAACTTTGCCATCGTTTGTTATAAGGAGTCTGTGTACCAGGAAAAATGGACAGACTAAAGTTTTGATTTAGAAAGTCTGCATGTTGAATATGTTCAAAATAATCATCTGAGAAGGTAAATGCTATATTTCCCTAATTGTGAAGCAGATAATATCAAATTAAATCCAAAATCATGCAATGGTGATGCAAACACCAAATTCGGTACAATTTGGCCCCTTGTATAATAATATTTTCTGATTAGCCACATGAAAATCACATTTTTCAAGAAGGCAGCCAATATGACCCATGAAAAAGTAGTTTTTGCATTTAATTGCTACATAATTTACTGATTTTCATTATCTTGTGTCAATTTCTATGTTTTGAAGCATGCAGCATTTGCTTACTTTTCTGGTATATTATTAGGCTAGTAGCGCTACTGCATGGGGTAAATGGGGCATGGAGGTAGGAGCAGTGCCTTTGTTTCAGCATTCAGCCACATCCCATGGATGAACTACTGACACTGGTCCTCACCACTATCTGTCATCTGTGACTCCCAAGAAGTTGCCTGTGCACAGCATACCCTGGTCAACAACATTGGTTCGTGGGCTAAACTAGGTGAGGGAAGCACACAGAAGATCCAGTTTATGTGATGAACTTCATTTATAGCTCTGACATTGATGGCATATAAAGTCATAGATAAACTTCTGTTTTCTCAGAGATGACGGCAATAAAACAGAGTTGTTCAAGTTGCTAGCCAACAAGGTTTGTGAATCTGACACAATCAGTAGTCCAGTGATTGCTACAAGAGGGCCTCTTGTAGCAATCACAAGTACCAAGTGCCTAGATGCTGTCTCAGCCAAGAGGTGGCTGACACTGGGGTATACGAGAGATGCAACTCTGACTAGACGTCAGTAGCTCATTCATTAACGCAAAGGGCACCAATGTGTTCATTATAGCATTGTAGACAGTGGGAAGGAAAAACTGAATTTTAACAGGAAGAAACCTCAGGCAGAACCAGGCTTAGAGAAGGGAAGCCATCTGCCGTGACCAGTTGGGAGTGATGGGAAGAAGACAGGACAAGAGACAAACTGTGGAAGCTCAGGGATCACCTGATCCAGCAATAACTATTAGCTTAATCAAAAAGAAAAGTTGTGAGCCTAATTTTATAAGTAGAGAGGGTGTCTATTTCCCAAATCCAGATTGAGAGCTGGTTTCACAGAAGAGGGGCCTGAAAGCTGAAGGCTCTGTCTCCCATTCTACTTTCAAATACCCTACGGACATAAGGACATGTGTGATGAAATTATTAAAACCTTTGTTAAACTTAGACTCCTTCTGAAGCGTCTGACGATGACCTGCATCATCTGAAGCACTTTGTCATAGTGATGTATGACTAAACAAGTTCATGAGTAAGAAGTGAGCCTTGCATGGAGAGAGAAGAGCTATTCCATCATCAAGTGCAGCCCTTAGGGACCATGCAAAGCATGCTGCCTACCAGGCAGGAATCATCTGGGGCTGGGCTAAGGCTGAGGAAGAAGTCTGTACAGTTTCATGGACCACACTCCCTATAATAGCTGCATGCTGCCAGGAACTGACCAAGTATGGATGTAAACATGAGTATAGAGGCAGATACTATCACCATGAACATTTTTGCTTTCTATGCTGTTTTTATTGCTGAAGTAGTTGTTAATAAAATGTTTGCAAAAATGTGTTGATCTACTAAAGACACAAAAAAACTGACTGAAC